AAAATCAATAGTAGACGAGATATCCAACTATAAATTTTAATTTCAATCTGCGCATGAGAGTACGGAATGCATAATAAATACAATCATTCAGATGATAGACGCATGTTAAAAACTGAGAACAATATTTATTTAAATCGTTGAATCAATTTGAACTTCAGTTATTCCATCAATAATTTTATCTCCGCTTTGAGTTTCACAGTCTATAAATGTAACTGTCATGCACTTGCACGAATGAGTGAGAGTATAAATGCTGCATTTCAGTTTTACCCCTACTCCGCGGCGGGCAGTAATGCGACATGCGAAAAAATATAAGGCGATGTAATAAAATTATCACTTTAAAAACTTACCAAATAGCGACGGTCATGGTGTTCTGCTGGGATCTTCTGAGACAACACTGATCGCTGCAAACCGACCCCTCGACGGATCCAATACTACCCCTCGGTGGTGGCGTGGCACAAACCCGTCTACCGCCCGAATGGCCCACGTATTCGACACTGGGACTCGTGCACATCCCATGCCTGCACTGACCTCTGACCGTCCTCAGCGTTGGCGACACGTAACCCGTACAAGTCACATCTTTCTTTTCGACACGACCGGCAGCAGGCATCAAATGGAAACTCGGACAAGACAGTTCCTTCGCGCCGACAAAACACTGAATCACCTTCTCTTGCTGCTGTTGCTGCGAACCGCGGATATTTTGGCACTGAACTAATTCCGACGTGACCAATTCTTTTTGTTGCATAACGTCTTTGCCCCCCTGACTAGTCACGGAACTACTACTACTGGAGCATGGGCTCGACTTGCAATACTGATAGCACTCGGGATACTGACAACACTTGCTCCTCAAGGGATTAGTCACGTACCGGATCCTTTGGTAATTGTTTTGTTGATAAAACGGCATCCTGTACTGTGGAAACCGCAAGTCTCTACGCATATAGGGGTCGTTACTACTTATGGTACCGTATTTCGGATATCTTTCGTACTGACAGTAAGGCTCCTGCTGTTGCTGGGGTGTGTATCGTTCTACCGGTACGTGGGGGTTCGTGGAAGTTATGACGACGCGTTCGCTGTTACCGTTCGCGCCACCATAATGCAAATGGTACCCTGTTGCCATCTGATTCCTGTTATGGGAATAATTCGTATATAACTCGTTGGAATAGGTCAAGTATCGATCACGTATCTTGTCGTATTTTTGCGGCGAATACACTTCGGTTGGAGAGGGCGAGAGTGGTGGCGGTGGAATGAACCTCTCCGGCGGCGGGACTGTATTAGTAGGCGAAGGGAAAGTGTTGGAAGCGTAACAGTCGGGGCTAGGGGTGGTGATAGGCGATAACGGTGGCGGTGGAATGAACCTACTGTTTGCAGGAGCTGGTGATGGAGGTGTCATATAGGGGGCGCTAGAAAATGAAATGCGCTCAGGCCTGTTCGGTTTCTCTTCGTCAGTAGCAAAACGTTCCGGACAAGGAATAGCAGGAAAGCGTTCGTCGAAATACTTTTCTTGGTCGAATCGGCAACTATCGACATCGATTTGCTGTTTCCTATCAGCCGATCGTGACCTTTCTCTCCTTCTTTGTAAATCCGTCGCGGTAGCGACACAAAACTGTTCCTTATCATTATTGTTCTTTCGGAATCTTTCGACTGGCGTGTGTCTGCCAGGAGTACCGGCAGTACTTCGTCGACTGATTGAATTGTACATGTCTGTCGTCGCCTGATACTTGTCCATAACAGGAGTACGCCTCTCTGAACTGCTACTGCATCTCTCCTTTTCCCCTCCATTCGACGACTGACGGTACCTTGCGTCCGTAGGGGTGTTTGCCCTCGAATACATGGCATCGATCGCGTTATGACTGTGATATCGATCCAGACAAATGACATTCTTAACCGGAGAATACCTTTCCGAATATTTCTGTGGTTGATACCGATCGGACACGAACAGTACCTGATGCTGATCGGCGTGACAATGAGACGACACATTCGGCACAAGTCTATCCGAAGACATCGCGTTCCCGAGCGGGTACCTTTCGGATACACCCTGATACCTTTCGCCCGAAGGTAAACGATCGGAATGACTACGTTCGGAACCGAACCGATGATCTCCAACGATGTTATTGTACCGTTCCCCGGTTTTAAAGTCTTTCTCGCCGGACGGGGGCGGAGATTGCACTGACGACGCCGATGACGTAGCCGTCGGCGCCTGCAACGCCTGCAGGCTATCTTGTTGAACACGATCGGCGACAGAATGATCCTGATAACGATCTGTAACAGGAGCAACAATCGGAGGAACGGATACATTTTGGATAATATTATGTCTTCGGCCATAGTCTTCGTCCGCAGGCATTCTGGTGGCCCCAGGCCCGATGTCAAGACATCTGAAAAGATCAGGGAACCTATTCATTGTCAACTTACTGGTGACAAAAATACATGAGAAAATCTACACCCGTGAATTGCAAGTTACCTTGTTCCAAGTGTAGTCGAGTAGAGTGAACTCGTAACTTTACTTTGTAAGCTACATAACATACATTCCAACTATTTTCTCTGCTTATTGAATTAGAGAAACCCTCTTTAAAATCAAATATTATTTAGATCAAAAAGTATAAAAATTATTAGGGAGATGTAGGAACCTGTTGGTGATTCCACTTTTTTTTTATTAAGAGGTTCTTATATTTGAATAAATTTTTTTTTGAATAGTTGCTTAAGTACCTATTGTATTATATGGATTTAATTTTATTTGAATATTTACTGCTTGGAATACTATATGAGTGAATGCGCTCCAGAATTGATTCGGCTCGAAGGACCAAAAATTTTGTTTCTTTTAAATTAACCCTTTGCATCATAAATCATAATAATAGTGATAATAATAACAATTAAGTACAGAAATGTAGAGATTGCTTCCCTTGTAAGTGGTATCCACGATTGTAACTGACAGTATTGAATTGTTCATCATAACCCAACTTTATTAGAAAATAGAACGGTTTGAAAGGTGTGGAAGTTAAATTCCTAGCATTAATCTAACTTTTTAAAACAGAAAAGTTTAGGTTATGTTAATATGGAATTACTTAATATAACTAATTTTTTCTAGGCAGTATTTTCACATTTGCATCAATATTATTCCAGTAACATCATATTTTGAAAAATTGCTGTCTTTAGTTTCTCAGTACAATATTAACAATTAATTAACCAATTAGAGTGTTATTATTTGCTGTAGAGAAAAAATAACCACTATAATTATGCCACTACTTATGTAATTATGTCGCCATCTAATCTGCTCAGTTTCATTAGAAACAAACGATTTTATTATCACTTGCTTCGCATGGGTATCAATTAGAAGATGTTGTAAAGGGCCTTTGATAACAGAATACAGTCACTTAAACCTTAAGCAGTTTTCAATTACTTTTTACAGATTATAGAGTAATTTGAAGAAAATGAATATTACGACAATGAAGGAAACTAACAGAAGAAACTCAGTATAATATTAACAACCAAATCTGAGAATAAGTATTAGAACATATTTTTTTGAAACGAAAATCTGATAGAACATTATTATTGTATTTCATGTAGACATACCTGTACTGGTCGCCGTGGTGAACACGAGTAGTAGCGCCAGGTCTAAAGGGGGGTGCACCCCCCTTTCCCCGACTACCACATCACTAATTACTACTGCGACCCTGTAACAAAATAAACGTCATCAATATAAGTATATTTACCTACAACAGGGAGAAAACTTAGTTTTTTTATATCAAAAATATTTAATCCAAATCTGATCAATATGGGTTTAGAAAAAATTGAGGAACACGAGAGGCCATTCTAGCTTTACGGGTAATTAGAAAACGATAGAAAAAGGACAGAGCGCTTACACAGGATTTGTAGGGTTAGAAAAAGCTTTTGACAATATTAAGATGGGACAAGATGTTAAATATACTTAAAAATGTAGGGATGAGTTACAAAGATAGAAAAGTGATACTAAGTTTGTATAAAGAGCAACAGGCAGTTGTAGAGCTAGGGATGCAACGTAGAAAAGTAAATATTAGCAAGGGAGTCAAACAGGGATGCACACTGTTACCGCTACTTTTTAATCTATACATCGAAGACGCGATTAACATCATTAAAGACAGTACAGCTGTAGGGATAGGTATAGAGGGACAAAAAGTTAGTATGCTTAAATTTGCAGATGATATAGCAGTATTAGCATCTAGTAAGGAGTTAGGGATAGCTTTAAATAAAACGGAAGCGGTATTGACAAAACAGTATTGTATGAAAATAAATAAAAGTAAAACAAAACTACTAGTATGCAAGGGAAGAAACAGTAGGAAAAGGGAGAATATAAAGATAGGAGACGAATGATTAGAAGAAGTGGCTGATTTTAGGTATCTAGAAAGTCAGATAAGTCAGGACGGAAAGGGTAGTAGAAATATAAAGTAAAGGATGGTGCAAGGTCGAGTAGTGTTCAATAAAAAGAAGTCATTTCTATGCTCGCGAACGATTAATTTATAAATTCGAAAAGATTGTTGCCGTACGTTCCCTATTATAATTATTCAAAATCTCACTCAAACCTTTCTAAAGTCATTATGCCCCTTCCCCGTGTAAAATTAAATTGTTCCTAAAGTAACTAAAATGAGAAGTTTCACGAATAAATCACTAGAGAATTGTAGATTGTAAGGGAACCACTAGAAGGGCACTTCCAAAATATAAAGGATAACTAAAATCTAATCACGAAAACATCTTAATGAAAGATTTTCTATAAAAACTTTGCATTGTCGAATCGCCCCCAGTTGACAATCAAATTGCTCCCTACGAGGGTTGAGCCTCACGTTGGTAAAAACAGATCTAGATGTTTACTAAAAAAACTAAAAAGCAATCACGTAATAGATATTAAGCAATCTACTTCAGCTAGGATCAATTTCTATCAAATATTTTTACTTTGTGGTCTCAATTACAAAAAAACTGGAAAGATATTTGAGATAAAACAGTATCCAATTTTAGACCATTTTTTTTACTTAAGAGAAAGAGATATACAAAATTGGGTATAAGGATCTTGCTAAAAAAGTTGCTATAGGTACAATATTAATACTGGCAATATAGTGGAAAACGTAAAACTGGGCAAATTGCTTTTCTTTTTGAAGTAATATAAAGATAAAGATCGATATCCTTTAGCGCTAAAATTGCATAAAACGGAAAATTCTCCTGTTCAATTTAATTAAGCTTAATCTCGATCGTAAGCCCGTAGATGCTGTGGCGTCATATAAAAAGAACTAATTCCATGGGAGCAGTATCTAATTCAAACGGAAAATCGACCCTAATTGCACAAAGCACTGCGCGCACATTCGCTTAAAATTCAAATTTTGTTACCGTTCATAATGGTACCACACTTTCTTTAAAGCGTAACGGTGTTTTAATATACTATCATTTCTACAGCCGCTACTACTATCTACAGCAGTTAAAAGTTCTTAACGCGACATAAAATTATAGAATAAATTATATTATATTTAAAAGAATCTCATTAAAACATGATTGTTAAATTGTTTGTAATTACACGATAGAATTAACAGAAAATAAATAATGATGAATTTTAGAAAATACTACAAATGGCGCGGTAAACGCCATCTGTAGCACGATGCTACATTTTAGGATTCCGTATGCTCCAACAAGGTCCATTTAAATATATGGATATCTACTTGTTGAAACGAATCCCGGCGTGGCTAACCTCAACGTGATAGGCACGTTACCATAATCGAAAATCGCCCTTGTTGGAGCATACGGAATCCTAAAATGTAGCATCGTACTACAGATGGCATTTACCGCGCCATTTNAAAAACACTTTATTAAAAAATATTTAAAAGCGTCTTTTTTATATTTTATTATAACCTAAACGCAGATTTCATAATTAGAAGGCTTCAAATATTCAAATTTTGGTTCACATGATACGTTCCATTGTTACTGAGAGATGTGTCAAAATAATGTCAACTGTTATTGACAGATGTCAAAGTATTGTACATACTTACCAACTGTCAATTTCACGACAAACTAAAATTGTTAACTTACGATTGAATTTAACGGTTACAATAATACTGTATTTTAAAAGAGAATAAATTTATTTATGTACCTAAATATTAAGATAAATAGTAAAGTATCAGCAAATTTATAAAACCACAGGTCATCACAGCGTTCAATTATCTCCTGCGGCCACCATAAAAATAAAACAATTCTGATAAACTATCAAAATAGAATACAACGCGAACGAGAAACTGTATTTATGGCTCGAAAAAGCGCTATTCTGAAGCCACAACAACGCCACGCATACATATATATTGGTTTTAATTAAGTTCTGCAGTTAAATAGAAAGTTAACAGTATGTTTATTTCCGTAATATGCAAAGAACAAAATCTAATTTTTCGTTCTAAAACGAACATTCAATATATAACATTTATTAGCAACTATTGCTGAGACCTAACCAAATTTTGAACCATTCAAATGCCTAAATTCCTGCTTGGTCAATCATGGACCAATTTAGGCATGGTCCTTATAAACTACGATCCATGGTAGAAGATTACCAATGATACAGCTCAATGGCGACTTTTTAATTTATAATTAAAGCCAACGTGATTTCGAAAAAATGTTTATGACTTAATGTCATTAACTGATGCGTATCATTTGCGCTAAACCCAAAAAAAATTTAATAGATTTTACCGGTACATCTCCTGCTTCGTAAATAATTTAAAAATAGGAATGAATCTCACCTTTCAAGCCACTTATAGAAGTCCACATTCTAAGAAGGACAACAACCCTCCTTTCTTCATCCCTAACGCAACGGAAAATTCCGATTGACGGAGGAAGATTATTTCTTTTCACAACTTTTCCAATTAGATGTACCTCCTGAAATAAAAATTCCATCTTAGAAAAACGATCGCTCTAAATTACTATTGACGTGGCGTTTGAAAAAGGAAAACTTAAATCCCTTTATTTACCAACCAGATTATCCTTGATGTTATTGTAGGGGTTAAGGGAAAGTCGTTTGAAAAGAGAAATTATTTTCTCTGGTAAACAAACTACAAAAGAAATAAAAAAGAAACCAAATACAATAGGTACATGTTTTATAAGAAAACGCTGGTAAACATTTCCATAAGTATAAAATAAATCAAAAGAAGAAATGTTTACAACCCAATATCCATTTTATTTAAGGTTATGTAGAAAAGTGTGTTAATTGTTTATATAGATGACAAATTGCATCTAATGTTTTGCTAGCACTGTTGGGAGCTTCTTCACAGGCCCATCTCTGATGTTGGATGTGGACTGGCGACATCCCCAGCACATGTTGGGGCTTATTCTGGTTCAGTCAGCCAGCCATGACATGTGACATACCGGTCGGTAGCGCTCTGGTGTTCCGAAGATCGGGTTCCAGAACTGGTTGAGTCTGAGTATCTCTTCCTTCTTGTTGAAGTTCTCCGGATGTTTTTAGATATCGATGGCCTCTCTAGCCATCATGTTGTAATAGCCGTTTCAGCCTCAGGGGTCTACTCCATACCTTGTTCCTGCAGAAAGGTCTACACGGGAACCACTAAGAGATCGATGGGAACGAGACTCAAGGAGCATAGAGCAAGCTTCCGACTAGGACACCGAAAGATCTGCTGTGACCAAACAAGCACTAAGCAACAACGACCACAAAATACTCTTTGAGAACTTCAAACTGTTAGTCTCCGTCAACAGCTATCACAGCAGGATGGTTAAAGAGGTCATCGAAATCCAAAAACAACCGAAAAACTTCAGTAAGAAGAAAGAGACCCTCAGACTAAACAACATGTGGAATCCGATGATCAGGAACATCCCCCAAAAATTTTTTTTGTGTGTTTCAATCCCACCAGCCACTACTGCTGGTGGGCGGGTAGTCCCTCCGAACTACGCCGGAAGGTAGGGCGGAAGACCCTCTTCAGCCTCTTTTCAGGAATCGTGGAAATGGGTGGGTGGTGGTTCGGGTAAGAAAGGTGAGATGGATGAAATGAAAAAAGAATGAAAGATTATCTGTGGAATATTACAACATTTGCCTAAGAGATCCAAGAAAACCACAAAAAACTTGGACCAAAGCAAACGGACCCGGAATCGATCTGGCGTCCTCCCTAATGGTAAGCAATAGTCTAAAACTCTAGGCCATGCCGCTCAGAAACAGCAAAGGGGTACAAGCCCCAACTTGCGCAGGAGATGTCGCCAGTTTACATCCAACATCTGACGAAGCTCGAAACTCGTGCTAGCGAAACGTTAGGAAGCAACTCCAACCGACGGCACCCTTTAGACCGGAATCAAGAAAAATATTTTAAAAATATTCTTGTCTGTAAATCTGATAGGGTTCTGTGTAACTAAACTAAAAAAGAAATGTCTTACAAATTAAACATATACGAGCTTCTATTATTCTGGTGTCATTTTCACCCCTTTAGAATCAAATTTGGCGTTAAAAAACAAGAAGAATGGCTACAGATGCATATTGTGAAGCAGTAGTTACCATTAACAAGTATTTTATTGATTGTAAATAGATAATAACACTGTTCCGCTTAACATAATAACACTGAACCATTAAATTGAACAGGACGATGTAAAGTTGTGGAACTCATTTTAAATTTTCGATTAATCAACAAAGACTAGCAATTTCCAGACTGACATTTTAATCTACCAGAATAACGAACATTTATTATTGAAAATGTATACGTCCCACTGAATTGTTTTAATTTTAAATATAGACGTCTAACGGTACAATTTAGTAACTGTAATATAACTAAATATATATGTGCCTATTTTACCTCCTGTACACAACCAATGGGACTGATGAATACACAAAAGGATAGAAACTGTCACACAAAATATGACAGCTGAAATTATTGGAAATCCACTAAAAACTACACGTAATTCTGGCAGTCGCGTTATGTCGTTCACCAGGGATTATTATTTATAGATAAGAATTAACAATTACGTTTAAAGAACAATGAAATAAATAGAATTGTCAGAATAACAGGAGATTGTAGACCAACAGGAAAAAGGCTTTTCATGTTTCGGTTAGGGATAGTGCTAATAAATTGAAATCCATTAAAAGTTACAATAAGACTGCTAAACTAAACTAAACGGGTCTCAAAATCTCTCATTTTTTTTTACATAAGTTTCTGATCTGGGTACGAGTCTTTTGGCAGGGTAATTCCACAACTGTTAGAGACGAGACTGAAGTAATGTTAGAAATGTAATTAGATAAATATTAGAAGAAGAAATTAAGAGAAGTAGGAGTACACGAATGTTCTAGTAGAACCTTGATAACATAAACCTCGATAACGTAATAACCTCCATAAATTCATAAAATTATGTATTGCCTTCCCTGACTCGGAGTCCAAAACCTCTATTTTCTTAAAATAAAAACCCTCTATAACTTTTTATCACCATCCTCCTCCTTGTCATCTCCCCCTCTCACACTTACGTAAGAATTGGTATATATTTTTTAAAATCTATTCCGGTTTCATTAATTTAGTTTTTCTATTTCAAAATTTGGGAAATTTTTAATTAATCATGTTAGAAGCTTTCGAAATGTGGTGTTATAGGCGAATGATGAGGATAACGTGGGTAGAAAAGGTTAGAAATAAAGAGGTATTGGAAAGAATAGGAGAACAGAGGACTCTATGGAAGTCATTCAAAAATAGACGGGATATGTTGGTATGACACCTTCTCAGACATGAAGGTCTAGTCAGAGACATATTAGAGGCAGAAGCAGGAGTTAGGAGGGGTTGAGGCAGACCTAGGTTACTTTTCGCAAATGGTTAAGGATGTGGGTTGTTCTCGTTTTAAGGAAATGCGAAGATTAGCTCAGGATAGGAAAAAGTGGAGGTACGTATGCAACCAGTCTTAGGACTGACGACCTTATGATGATGATGATGATGATGATGAGTCATGATACTTGAACCCATGACTCCAAGTTTTCGATTGCAGTGAATGTTTTCTGGTCAATGTTGTGGACCAATATAAAACACAACGTGAGAGCAAGTGAACAATAACAATTATTTAATTCGGGAAATCACTGAAGATGCTTTCCTCTTTCGAACATAGTATTTGTTCAAATCTGAGTCTACTAAATTTGGCAGAAATATCAGGAAAAGTATATAAACAAATATTGCCGACGTAATCACCCACCCTCTCGATGTCATCAAAAATAAGCAAAGCAGAAACTCCTTCACCTCCCTCTGGTGCTTATGTAGTACTTGAATGACTCCATATTTTTTATTTAAAATCGTCTATGTATATAAAGCTCTCAAAATTTTTGCACTGGATAATTCATAAAACTGAAAATAAACCTTTTACCAACTTTTAATCAGTATGAAAATACATTTACTTTTGTATTACACTGAAACATTAATAACTTAAACCTCGATAACGTAATAACCTTTATAAATTCATAAAACTTTGTGTTCCCTTCCCGTCGGAGTCCAAAACCTCTATTACTTAAAATAAAAACCCTCTCTATAACTTAAACGAATAAATTGGGCATCGCACCTCAGTAAGCAGTGAAAAGTGGTTTAAGTAGGGAGAAAGTCTTTTATGTAAAAGACGAAGAATTGCTGAATTTCCTAATTTAGAAATTTACATGATTTAGACAGTGTAGAAATATGTAAAAACATTACTGTTAGTGGACCTATACTAAAGGAAAACGCTGAAGAGTTTGCTAAGTCCTGGAAATCCAAAAATTTTAAAGCTTAAACTTAAACCCTTAGTAAGTAAAAACCTCAATAACTCAAATTATTTTACGTTTCCCTTGGTCTTTATCTTATCGAGGTTCTACTGTACTAGAGAAAATTGAAAGTTAGCTCAGGATAGCAAAGAGTGGAGATACGTCTCCAATCAATCTTAGAACTCATGACTCTATGATGATGATGACGATATAAGGACGAAAAACTTAAATTATCCCTGGAAGAAAAGCAAATGTATATATGTATCTCTATGGAACTGAGTCAATGTGCTTATTTTCTTTATAGGTATTTTCTTCTTCTACGAAAAAATTCCAATATTATATTTTTCTATTGATATCTTTGTTCGGTTTTCCGAATAAAAAACTTATATTCAAAAGGTATGGAAGTTGTGACGCCGCTTCAGCTGTAATATTTTCAGTTCCAATACAATTGTACCTTTGAACACTCTCCCTTTGTAATCCCTCATTTTCAGAATACTTTAACGAAACAACATGATACCTCGGAGTTTTCTAAAGGATTCGAGTGGGTGTAACAATGGTAGGCCTAAGTCATAAAAATTTTGTAATTCGCCTTTATTAAACGTAAATTTTTCCCGAAGGACGACTTTTCGTAAAAGTCCTCTAAAAATACCGAGCACATAATTAACTCCTAAAAAACTTTTCTCATTATATGGCCATAAAAGAATAAAGCCAAGCTTGGAAAATCTAGAACTTCAATTTGCTTTTTTTGGACGCCATTTTGAATTTCCAAAATTTCGGTATATATACAAAATCTTGACTAATAAACAATTCATTAACAGTACGCTTACTATTACAGTAATTATTAATTCATCGTCTTATGACATATGAAAGAAATTACAAAGGGTTCAAGTAATAAATTTCCAATCCAATTGTTCTCCAAAATTCTAATTTGTAAAAAATAATCAGTGCATAATTATACTGTGAGGTATACAGTACGAATAAGATGCTACATGACATAAACAATTGCAGCTTTTTAATTCATAACATGTGAAAATAAATTAATCTAAATCAAAATGTCGTGTTAGTAACGCATGGTCTTTAATTTGCCAGTTTTATTTCAATAATTTTGATATTCTTGTTGTTGGGAATAAATAATTCAAAATCATAATTTATGTATAATAATTAAAGCCCCATTTTAATTAGTTGTCGTAAATTTCTGGATTACATCGGACTGAAATATACCTAATGCAACAGATCTATATCGATTATATAAATATATTTATCCTAAAATGACGAAACGTCATTCAACAAAGTATAATTCGACTTACTGCGTATTAATTTTAGAGAAATATGAGAAAAAGAGATGTAAAAAGGTACCCATGGTAAAACATTAGTTCATTCGAATAGAAAATATAAGTTTAAGAATAACGTTATCTCTGTATGGAGAATTTTTAAACGAATGCCAATTTTAATCTAAATCGCATTTGTTAAAAATCCCTAAACCAACTAACATCTCTGACGATTCAGAGAAAATCGTTCGTGTATACGCCTTAAAGGAAGGTTTGGCAAAATGGCGAATACAACTCCGCCACCTATTTTCACCATTACGGGGAATATACCCTTCCAAATTCAGCAGTATTCCGTTAAACTTACGCAGTAATAGCGATCGGCAATGGTGCGGCTTATTTTTCCGACGAAATGTACTGGGAAATATCTGCACCCAATAACAACACCAACAACTGTTATCAGTACATAGGTATATGTGTATAAACGTATTTTACTCTTTTTGGCACACGCACACACACATACACTCGCGAAAAACTACTTGGTAGACGGACGAAATAATAACGAAACGAGGGCTGGTGTCGACTGACCGATTTCGATTGTTAAAGTAAAAGCTCACTCGATTTATTACCGATATATTTGAATAAACGGCCTAGAATTGCACAGAACCGATAATTATTGTAGACCGATAACCGAGATTGTGTGTGCTATGGTGTATGCTTTTGCGAACTGGTGCGCAGGTCGACGAATCGCGTCTGTGGAAAACTAAGGGTGGAGAGGTCACTGACCACCAGATGGATCTGCTGTTCCGGTCGTTTCTAAGTTGTGGAAAGTCGCACAGAGCGCGCTTTCGCTCGAGCTTTTTCTCGGGAAAATCGACGCTACCGCTAGCGAGAACAGTGCCGCGCGATTTGGTTCGCAACAAGAATACCTTCGATCGACCGAGTCATTCTCATGGTTTTCTTTGCATTTACGAAATGCATCCCGCGAAAACAAATAAAAGAGGAACATTAAATTCAAAGAATATATTCTATGATGAATAAATGAAATATGTATCAACAAATTTAGTCGGCGATCTGTCCTTTTCATGAAGTAGTAGATTAAAGTAACGCTGAGGCTACAACCAACCAACCAATACATATTCTCGGAGAAGTGTGTATCTTTCAAAACCACGTTGACAACTTACAATTAAATAAGGTCGTCAGTCCTAAAACTGGTTGGACACGCACCTCCATTCTTTCATATCCTGAGCTAATCTTCGCATTTCCCCAAAACTATAACATCCCACATCCTTAACTATTTCTAAACAGTAGTCTAATCTAGGTCTACCTCTACTCCTCTTAACTCCTATTTCTGCTTCTAATATGTCTCTGACTAGCCCTTCATGTCTGATAAGGTGTCCTACCAACCCATCTCGCCTATTCGTTATTGACTTCGATAGAGTCCTCTGTTCTCCTACTCTTTCTAATACCTCTTCATTTCTACCCTTCTCTATCCACGGTATCGATATCATTTGAAAGTAAAACAATAAATTTTAGACATCAAAAATTCTAAAAAGACTTAAAGACAATATTCTTTGCCAATTTAATTTTATTTATAATGTAGTTTTTTCTTCTTTTTCTTTTTTATTTTTGTAAAATCGATTTGATAAGGGTCATAAAAGATAGTGACTGAAATGCTCCATTAATTCTTCGTCAGTTAAACTCCACTCATCATCATCATAAGGTCGTCAATCCTAAAAC